GCTTGACAAAGTTAAATTAGCACTTATTTATTTAATGTTTTAAGAGGAATAGTATTTCTTGTTCAAATTAAGCATACAAGGCTGTGCTAAATATTGTGTCCAGTGCAGATGTTCATTTTCTGTAATTAATATGGCAATATTTATTGAATTATATGCTTTATATGAATTACATTCATTGAATTACCAGCCCCATGAATGAAATACTTGCCCCATGAATAAAGTATTTGCTGTTTAAGGCTTAATATGGAATTTAAAGACAATGAGCAAATGAGTTGTTTAACAAACAATGAAAAATGTTTCACTCACTATATATACACAAATAAAAATATTTCACATTTAATACATTAACTTTTTTTAGTAACTGTTTCTTTTTTAACAATGTGAAATGTAACATTTCATCTCAATGTCAAAAAAATAAAAATGCTTCTAAATCATCACGTTTACACACATCTTTTCAGTGGTGCGCATTTAGTTGACTCTGATTTTGTGTTTCTTTCTGGTCTTTCCCCCTGTCAATGAAGCAGTCCAGCGAAAAGACAAGGAAAACTGATCCTGATTGGTCTTTGTGTGTGCAATTGAAATACTGATTGGCTCACAGAAAGAACCTTATAGAGCCAAGCTAGAGTTCAACTTTGTAATTAAAACCTTTTTTGCTTTTTAAATAAAAAATTCTAAAAAAAAAATTAAACAAATAACTTAAAAAAAATCATACAATGTAAATAAGTTGTCATTTAATAAGAATATATGAATAACTCAATTTTGACAAAAATGACAGACAGAACCTTATAATTCTAAGGTGATGAATGTTCATTATTAAGTGAACTATTATACATTTAAAGTTTTTGTACCGTTATTTACCACACCAATACAGACTATAAAGAACATGTCAATAAAAGTCACTTTTCAAACTTTACATCCTCAAAGGAAATTGTAAAACAAAAACAAAATACATCTAAATTAGCTGTTTTCTGTATTTTGTCATTCATGTTTTATAATATATACAGTCAAGCCTGAAATTATTACCACAGGGAGTGTGTGTATGAATTATTTCAGGCTTGACTGTATATATTACAAAACATGATTGACAAAATACAGAAAACAGCTAATTTAGATATATATATATTTTTTACATTGATTGTCCAATGCTCAAATTTGTTATGTTAAATTATTGTTATTATATTCTATATTATTATTAATTTTTTTTCTGTATAGGTCTATTAACATTTCTTTCTAATTTTAAATAAAAGATTGGTCATTTTGAGCCTTTTTTTGTTGTTATTTTAAAATTTTATATAAACTTTATATTGACAAAATAGGTAAAGCCACACTGGTTTGAAAAACAATGGTATAAAAATTTATAAAAGTTTAAAATTTCAGATTACATATCACATTATTTTTTCTGTCCCTGCACGGTTTTTCCTAGAGGTTTTTAATATGCCTGACAAGATTATGCTATAAAAATGAACACATTGTGATGTCAATTATGTTTTGGTTATCCAAACTAATGCATTTTCCTCTCACTGTACTAGGACATTTATAAGCCTAATACGTGACATATGCAGAAGTCAGGCTTCCTTCTGCAGGCCATATTTGTGTGTGATTCTGAAGGCTAAATAAACAGAAAGGCTCATTAACACGTCACTTTCACAGCAGCCAGCCAAGTGCAATCCTATTGCAAGACTCCCTGACACCAAGAACAGTGAATTCCAGACTATGTTAGTCCACAGAGAAGAGCTGACAGACAAACATAGAAAGCCTCTCCTCTGGATGAAGCCACACGAGAGAGTACAGGAAATTATTCAAAGCATCCTGTGCCGCTTTGCAGATTTCATCTCTTCTTTGAATTCCTGAGTTAGAACATAAAAACAATGTACTGAGACCCCAGCAAATTAACCATTAGGCTTGCATTTTTTTTTGTTGTTATTTGAGGAGTCTTTTTCTACTTCTCTAATATCACTTACATAACCAGTGTAATTCTGCTTTTGTTAACATGGCAAATCCCCATTTAATAGTTGTGCATGATTACTATCACGAATCCACAAACAAAGCTAACTGGGCCAGTGGAACTTGTCCTATTTGTGCTGCTTCATTCTGCTTGAATAATGCATTTACAATGGATGGGTTTGAGTTTCCTTGCTTCAAACTACAGGGAATCAATCTCACAAAGGATCTGGTGTTATTGAGGTAGACTGTTTCTAGACACAATGCACAACAGTTCTGAAAAATAGTAAAGCCGTTAAGTTGTCTATTTTAGGAGCTTTCACACTAGCACTATTAATACACACCGTACATATACCGTACTGTAAATATTTCCAAGCTCTCTTAAACATTACTTGGGAAATATTTAAAAAAAGGAAAAAATTGAAAGTAGGGCCAATAAATCTGACTTCAACTGTATATATTATTTAACATTTATAAAAAATTTAACATTACTGCTAAAAAATAGATGTATAGAATAACAACATTGACAATACATGCTATAAATGGTTAACAATTTTCTGTAGAAATAAAGTAACTTACTGTAAATCAATTACAGCAAAAACACTATATATATTCACAGCAGCATTTATCAGGCTGTTTTGCTGTATATTTATTTGCAGTATTGTATATTTTTACTGTAAAAATACAGTACTTTTTTATTTTACTTTCTTTATTGTCCACAAGTGGAAATGTATCTTTGGCTTCACCACACAACCACATCAGCGTTCACATTACAGATTTCACAGAAACTGGCAGCACAAATACATTCAATGTCATTACATAAACCACACTAAAAACTTAATTACCCAAACAATAACCAGTATTTAAAATTCTAACGGCAGTCGCACAAAGGACATTTGATACACCCTTTTTTTTACTTAAGGTTGCCTAAAACGCCTTTTTAATGGCAATAGCTAAAACTTTATATTAAGGGGATGGGAACAATCTTCAACAATGACGTCTGATTTGTTTAATTTTCATTAAATGAATTTTCTTAAGTTGTCTTTGTGCTTTATCTACAATTGCACTTGCAATCTTTACTACTCTACACAGTTTTTGCTTTTCCCTAATTGGCAACCACCCATGCCATACAATCATGTTAAAACTCACATCACTTTCATCCAAATTCTTGTATACCTTCTACAAAACATCTTGACTCACATCAAATTGTTGCAACCTCCTAAGATATAGTCATGACATTGCTTTTTAAAAATACATTCTACATGTCCAGCAAATGTCAATCTACTATCAATAAATGTTCCTAAATATTTTAAAATCTCTATTTCATGTACTTGAAGGACCAAAGATTTCATCCCTTCAGTAAGAACTAGTCTATTTCTAATTATCATCTCTTTGGTTTTATGAAAATATATGTCCAGTGAACTTCTTTTACACCAATTTTGAAGCAAATGTACATATAGGTATCTCCCTCTGTTCCTGTTTTAGTCAACCGGCCAACAGGTTCCATATCATCTGCATATTTAAATAACTTAAAACCTAAATCCTGGATCTTTTTTTTACAATGCAATTTTAAAATACAGTGATGTACTGCATAACTGCCCTACAGTAATACAGATCATATGTGTAATGGGGTAAATGCACACAGACTTTTAATTTCAGCCAGCCCCAGGGCTTCCGATGAATTGTCATCCCATAAAATCGCTTCCTTTAGGATCTGATTTCTTTAAAGAAAAACAGCGATCTTTAACAGCATGGCTGAGATACAATATAAAGTGGGTATCAGACAAAACAAGATGCACGGCATCAAATTATATTTTTCCACACCATGTCTTTAAAATATGGAAATCAATGTAACCCCAGTATTTTCAATGGTGTTTCTGCACTAGCCAGCTGCTAATGATGCCGCCTTTCGTCTCTTTTTACACATTAACAACCAAATGGATGCTTAAGTCTATTTAACTGAATGTACTGGAATTACATTACAACATCAATACTGTAAAAGGAACTTTATGAAATTGAAAATAGTCACATAAAGGTTTTGGAAGTTCATCATTGGCTGAAAAACGCTAGCTGTGCATGTATAGTTCAACCATCTCTGATAACAGAGTGCCTGTGGAGATTATCAATAGAATAAAATTATCTTTTTGGCTGCAATCATGTCAACCATCAGAGTTTGCTGTTAAGTAAGAGAGAGGGCATCCGTAATATCAAAATTACTAAAAACAATAGCCAGATTGTGGTCAGGACGGATATTGATTCTGTTAGATTTAGAGAACAATTAAAAAAAAAAAAAATAGTACAACTCATTTCTGATGTAAATGCAATTTTACTAAATTATGGAAGTGAGTCATGTTGGATGGCATATGAATTGATTAGACTGAATTGTAAAAAATGCCAATGCATTACAAGGCTAGTGTGACCATTGGAGGTGTGATAATGAGAGACAAAGTAACACAAACCATTATATGTATTGTGTTACCATGAATGATGATGAACAAACAGAACTGACCAATCAGAATCAAGTATTTTAGAGGTCATTGCAATAATGCAACATATTAGTAGTGCTTGAAACAAATTGTTGGTGAACTTGGCTATATAATTTGTACAGCACTGATTGAATGATGCTAGTATTGAATGATCAAGTCATCGGATGTCTGGTGTATAATAAAATTGGGAATTTCCAAAAGATTAGTCTATAAATAAGGATCAAAATATCACCCCAGCATCTTGGCACTGGGATTTGCTTAATATTTAGTCGGTCCTCAGTCCTGGCATCATTACCAATTTGCTGTTAATCCTAACCAGATCATTTCTGAGAATGTGCAATGGTTCAATTAGTCAAGGATGAGGTGAGCTGAGTTTCAACCACTGTGGTAGTGTAGAGTTACTGTGAGCTGGTGCAACATTACCTCATCAATAATTCAACTGGGTTGGATGTTGGTCAGTCTCCTTACTTGCCTTCACTTCTACAGGAACTCTGAGTTGGCAGGAGTAAAAAAACATCTGACAGCAGATCATAATTTGAAGATTGAAGCTGGTTACAGCATCAAGCCAGAAGGATGACCCTAAGGGCTACATCTCACGGAGAGCTCCAGGCTTTGGCTTCATTGAAGAGCCCTGCTTCAGACAGCGGTTTTAGGTCCCTGTCGCACAGCAGCAGCAACATGGGAGGCCAATTTGAAAGCATTGAGGAGATTAAAGGAGTTTCGAAACCCACGCACCTTCCACGAAGACCCGTACGAGCAGTACGACCTGTCAGTGCTTTCACCACTAGCGGTTCTTTCATGCAGATCAACCACCTGCAGGGAGAACTTGTGAGGAAGAGGAAGGTACGTGCTGACATGATGAAGAAAATTAGGACAATGCTGTGGGAAGAGTCAGTGCATTAGGCCTGGATCACACCCTCATTAAAAATTCACGTTTTAACTTAACAGTATTCTGAAATGAACTGCAAATTTAAGAACACTGGGAAATTTTGTTTGACTGTTTTATTTAGTTGAGCCATTTTCAGAGCAAGAACCATTTTTTTTTCTCCCCAAGTGTGCTCTTTTTTGGATTTGCCAAAAACTCATATTACCCAAAAATTCTCATATTATTTACTTTCCTGACACTGATGGTGTTTTTGTACAGTTGTTTTAAACACCACTATCTGATTATACCGATCAGAATAGTTGGAAATGTTAAGTTTACTTCATAAAATACTAGTAAACATCAAAGCAATCAATTAAACAGTAGCAACGTGAAAACATGCACTGTAAAACACAGAAAATCTCTAAATGAAATCAGTTAGTATAACTTATAATTTTGAAAAAGTTACTTTGACTAAATGAAAAAAAGTTATGGTAACTCATGAACTGACTATATTCTGCAGAACTCAAATCTAATGAGTTATGAATTAAATAATTATAATTTTTGTGTTAACCTAATTCTAATGGCAATATCAAACCATTTGTGTAGCTATATTGTCTGGACTTTGTTTCTTTTAACCGAACTCATACAGATTTTATAACTAAACTTAAAATATTTAAAATTACTACTACTCTAAATATTTGACAATATCAAAACAAATAATGTATATGGCTCAAAATATGTATAAGTTTAAAGTTCTCAAACCATTTCATGTCAAAACTTAAACCATTTGCTGTAATCGGTTTCCTCAAACAGTTTCAGTTAACTTAACAGGTTTTACAGTGTGCCAACAATGGAAAAAATATATAAAATATTATTAATATAAAAGTAATATGTTATTTAATAATAAAACTATAAACTGTTTATGTGACTATCATTTCTCTCAAATTACAAATAATACTGTTGTCATTTAGAGTATTTATTTTGTGTATAATAACAAAAATGTCTGTGTAAATGTCCAAAATCTTTACACGCAATGACCCAGAGACTGTTTCAACTGCATGTCACTGATGAGAAGATAAAGGATGTTTACTGTATGATGACTGAAATCGCTTGACCGCATTAAACAGTAACTACATGTACTACAGAATGTTACGTTTTCACACACATGTACAAACTGCATGTAAATACATCAGCCCTTCACAGCGTGATTACCACTCTTTTTGAAAGGTCTACTTTTTACTCATACTTTGAGTAATATTTACAACAGATTCTTTTACTTTGCTTGCACTACGTTTTGGGCAAGCAATGGTACTTTTACTTAAATATTACTTTTCTGTACTCTTTTTCACCCTTGTTTGTACAGTTGTTTTAAACACCACTAATTGATTAACTTACCAAAATAGTTGGAAATGTAAAATACCAATAAATATGATAAATTAAACAGTAACAACATGAAAAAATACAAACAATAGAATAAATATATAAAAGATTATTAATATAAAAGTTATACATTATATAATAATACAACAATAAACTGGTCGTGACGGACATTTCTTTCAAATTACAAATAATAATGTTGTCAATTAGTGGATTTATTTTGTATATAATAATAACAAAAATGGGCTATGCTTATTTTTTAGTCATTGCAATGTTAATTTAGACAACAAAATGGACCAATTGTCATTTCATGAAAAAAAGATAATGCTTTAATGAAACTTTTTTTTTTTTTTTGAAATTTGGAAATATATGTTATCAAAGATTTTTACTCAAACCCATACCTAAAAAACATTTAGTAAATAGTAAATACTCAGATAAACTGAGAATTAATTTTTTCCATTGCTGCACTTAATTGTGCTTGAACATAATATGCTATATAAATATTATAGAATAGTAATAATATTAAATGAAAAAAAAAATAATAATAACAGCCATAGCCATATCACCCTGCAGCCCAAGAATGGTTACTCACTGAAGCTAAGCAGGGGTGAGATTGGTCACAACCTAGATTGGAGATCAGATGTGAAAACTAGGTTGCTGTTAAGTGGTGTGAGGCCAGCAGGGAGTGCTCAATCTCTGGTCTGTGTAAGTCCTAATGCCCCATTAAAGTGAAGTGGACACTGTACTGTCAAAGAGTACCGTCTTTCAAATAAGACAATAAACTGAAGTCCTGACTCTCTGTGGTCATTAAAAATCCTATGGCACTTCTTGTAAAAGAGTAGGAATGCAACCCTGGTGTTCTGGCCAAATTCCCTTCATCAGCGCTAACCGATTATGGCCTCCCAATCATCCCCATCCACTGAATTGACTCTATCACTGCCTCTTCATTCCACCAATAGCTGGTGTGTTGTGAGCACAATGACGCCGTTGTCCTGTGGCTGCCGTTGCATCATCCAAGTGGATGCTGCACACTGGTGGTGGTATATATATACACACACATCAGGACGCATGCTTATTAGTAAGATCACCCTCATATTATTTAAACTTTAGCTTTGTCAAATGTGCCGACACCTCCACATAAAAGGCTATTACGCCACATGAGCGGCGCGTGAGCAGCAAGTAATTGTTTTGCCATGCATGTTAACAAACGGGACTTGCACTGGGAGAAGAGCAGCGGAGTGGTGTGTGAGGTGCGCGGGTATGGTTTTCTTGACACATACATAGATTTGTCAGTTTGCTTTTTGATTAAACTACATTGCTTTCTCCAGCGTTGGTTCGGTTGAACAGAGAATAACCTCTTAATTCTGGGATTACTACTCTCAATAAATACACTTTGCATGTGAAGTAAACCATATCTCAAACAAAGCATTTACTGGGGCATGTGCCCCAGTGAATTGTGTCTAGCCCAATTTACGCCCCCGCTATACACGATAAATGCGCTATTTAAAATACACATTGCACTACGACAAAAAACCCTATAAAAATATGCAGCAGTTGAAAAAATATATAACAATATTTGGTGTTTTTTTTGCTGGATAAACGCTGTCTCTAAGTCTCATTATATCTGTGTGGATATTCAGGAATGTGAGGATCTGAAAAAGGAGAACAAGTATCTGTCTGGTGAAATCCACATGGAAAGGATCATGATGAGGACTGAGAGTGAACTTACCATGAGAAACCTGCGGAATCTCAACCAGGAGCTCCAGGCCCAAGTTAAAGAGGTCTGAAATGCAGAAGTACAACACAAACAAACAGTACAAATAAACATTTCTGTCATCTGTTATCTCAGCTGAAACAGAAGCTGCATGTGAGCCAGCAGAGGGCGACACTGTGCTCCAGGGCCGCTGAAGATGCGGATCGGGCTCGAGCAGAGGCGGAAAAAAGCAGAGCGCTGGCCGAGAGCCGAGCGCTGGACAACCGGCAGCAGAAAGAGCTCGCAGTGGCTGATAAAATACAGCTCGGAGAGGAGCTGCAACTGCTCAGGACTGAGGTATACACGAATAGCAGTATTAAAGCTGAGCGATATGACAATAATGTTATTCTAATTATTATTAAATGTAGCCAACATTTTGCATAATTGTTAAGCTATTTACGTTACGTTATCTGAATAAGTTGTTGTCAGTTGGCCTACACTGCAAAAAAATAAAAATTAAGACCAACTTATACAAATTACACTTATACAGATGTCAAGCGTATTAAACCAAGAAGCTTTAAATTTTGAAGCAGTAACAAAGATTAATGGGCTAGTATTCAGTTATTTATACAATGAAGACCCTGCTGAAAAATGCAGCACATGCTGGTAAGTTATGTTTTGATGCTGGTCTTTCCGTTCATGCCAAAAGGGCCCAAATGTGGTCAAAATGTGCCTTCTGCATTCAAGATTGTTGCTATATCTTCTCATGCCTGTAAGACTTATCATTTTTTTTATTAAAAAAAAAAAAGCTTTTTGGCCAAAAGCTGTATTAAGATGCGGTAGATTTTGTTGCTATATCTTTAAGGTTTATCAGACTTATAGTTTTCCAATAAATAATTTTAAGCATTATTTTTCTCAAAATATGGCAAGCCATTTTTGACTTAAACTCCATATTTTTTTTTACTGATATGGCAAGCCATTTTTGCATGTATCACCTTCACACTTAAGCATTTGTTAATTAAGCATTGTAATTTCAAAAAAATACAGCAAGCCATTTACATAATGTTCATTCCCTTAGTCCCTTTATTAATCAGGGGTCGCCATAACGGAATGAACTGCCAACTTATCCAGCATTTTTTACACAGCGAATGCCCTTCCAGCCGCAACCCAACACCAGAAAAACAATGTTAAAGTCCAGTTTTTGACACTCATAAAGACTGTCATAGAAACATCGGGGTTGATTTAGATCACTCATATTGTCAAGAAGCTTTGATGTATCATCACTAACCTGTCAAATGTCCCCATATCTATGAAACAGTATAACCTAGCAACCATTTAAAAATAGCAATATCTCTACATCAGAACATCGTAGGGACCTGGGCATTGGCTTGTTTGACTCATGCTAGCAAATGGGACTTCCTGTGTACTATGCATGGTAACAATGATAATGGAAGCCAAGTGCTAATAACGATTAGCTACATACTATGAATGATTATCTAAATGCAATACCATATGCTAGAAATGCCTACTAAGTATTAGCATTTGATCAAACATGTACACGAGCATTGCCATTTAGCAACTGCTTAGCAACCACCTAACGATGCCATAAATGTTTGACTTTCTCAAGCCAACATCAAAGTTTATCAATGAACTTTAGGTTCTAGTTTTACATTTTGTTATAAAATTTCCATGCCTTGATATTTTTAGACTTTTAAACATGGTTTATTTCATGTCTCTTTGTTCTGTTGTATTCATGTATACTTTTATTTATTTTTTTCAAATTATGCAGATATAATCCCAATCTATGTACAATTATGTGAAATACAGAAATTAGATTCATTCAGCAAGCATATAGGCCTAAATGTTGAAGAAAAATGTAATGCAACAAATATTTGCCAATATTGTGCTGCCATTCTTATCATGGCTCTGTGATCCACAGCACAATGATGTCCAGCTACTTCTAGCACAAGCTGAAAAGAACTACTTCGAGACCAAGCTGAAACTAGACAGGGTGTCCGGAGAAAAGCAGGCTGTCCTGGAGGAAAACAGAATACTGGAAGATGACAGAAACACCTTACGACACAAACTCAAGGAGCTGACGGAGGAAAATGTGAAGATAATGGAAAAGTAAGCTCAAGAGTGTCCAGTAATGCCATTTCTCTTTGCAAATTCAAGCACTGTGATTAAATCAGAACTCGGGTTATTATAATCAGGGTTCCTACTCTTCTTGAAGTAGGCCTACTTAAATGTCAGACGATGTGGATTCAAGGCCTGGAAAGTACTCAAAAACAAACATAGGTCTTTAAAATTAGTTTTATGATGGTATTTCAGAAATTGTACTGTGCTGGTCTCAAAAACAACTTAAAATAATTCATTCTTAATTTAAAAATCTTTAACTTTTGTGCATAAACTATTACAAATAATGCACATTATCAATATTTCAGAATCCACATTTGAATATTACCAATACTGAAACAAACATTTTATTAAAGAGGAATTTTTTCTTGAAAATTACATTAAAATCATCATCATCACTCATTTTAATAACCTGCAGAAGGACATTTTAATGTACATATTAATTGTAAGTGAAATGTTAAGAACTGTAAGGAGTTTCATGGCACTACATATACTAGGGTTAAGAAAGACTTGGACTGGAATTATGAAAAACGATTTGAAAACTAATGGTGCTTTAAAAAGTCCATCAATCTGCTGTTCATGAAAGAGTGGGAACCCTATATATAGTGTGGCTCATTTTACTTTCTGTAAATATCCTTCTTTCTCTTGTAGGGAAGTGAACTCCAGGCGCAGAGCTCTAGTTGCTGAAGAGCAGAGAGAGAGGGCCAATAAAGCCCAGCAGGAGGCTGAGCAGGAAAGGCATTTATCTGAGCGGGAGAGACAGGAGCGAACCAGAGAGTGTTTGAGCTGGAGAGAGAAACATCACACTCTGGATGAAGTCATCAGAGCCCAGGAGGAGCTCAAGTCTCTGAGACAGAACAAAGGAGTGAGTCTTTCATCAAAAAAACTCATTTCGTGTTCATCAGTAAAAATTGCTATACACTGAAAAAAAAAAAAGATAATTTAATCCAACTTAAAAATACTGTAATAAATGTTTTAATTGATCTCAAAGTATAATTTAACCTTGGTTCAAACCTTAAAACTTAAATTAATCTAAATAAAAAATATAGTAAAAAACATTCACACAAAGAAAAATATTGTTTACTATATAGACCATTCTTTTTTATACTTTGGTAAAATGTAGATTTTTATATTGGATTTATCTTTTTTACCCTTAAACTAGGGACAGTTCACACATTTGTTTGATCATACAACAAAGTATAGTTTTGCTTTGGACAACCTGCTGGTTTAAAGTAAAAATACTACTAGAAAAAAAATTATTATTATTTTTTTCCCCTAGGTGTTTCATTTTTTTATTTTTTGCTTTAAGCTAAATTTAATAAAACAGGTTAAACCAGAAACCATATTTCTTCACTTAATCCAATATAAAAATGCACTTTAAATTAAGAATGCAGTAGTTGCACTTTTTCCTGTGTTCTGTAGTTAAAATTAATTGTTATTGAATGTTTTTCACCAAATAAAAGATATACATTCACCGGCCACTTTATAAGGTACACCGTACTAGTACTGGGTTGGAACCCCTTTTGCCTTCAGACCTGCCTTAATCCTTTGTGGCATAGATTTAACAAGGTACTAGAAAAATTCCCTAGAGATTTTGGTCCATATTGACATGAATGCATCATGCAGTTGCTGCAGATATGTCGGCTGCACATCCATGATGCCAATCTCCTGTTAAACCACATCCCAAAGATGCTGTATTGGATTGAGTTCTGGTGACTTTGGGGGCCATTTGGGTACAGTGAACTCATGGTCACGTTCAAGAAATCAGTCTGAGATGATTTGCGCTTTATGACATGGCCTGTTATCCTGCTGGAAGTAGCCATCAGAAGATGGGTACACTGTGGTCATAAAGGGATAGACATGGTCAGCAATATTACTCAGATAAGCTGTAGTGTTGACACTATGCTCAATTGGTACTTATGGGCCCAAAGTGTGCCATGAAAATATCCCCCACACCAGTACATCAATGCCACCAGCCTGAACTGTGAAACAAGGCAAGATGGATCCATGCTTTCATGTTGTTGATGACAAATTCTGACACTACCATCTGAATGTCGTAGCAGAAATCGAGACTCATCAGACCAGACGTTTTTCCAATCTTGTATTGTCCAATTTTGGTGAACCTGTGCGAATCGTAGTCTGTCTCCTGTTCTTAGTGGCACCCGGTGTGGTCTTCTGCTGTTGTAGCCCATCCACCTCAAGGTTGGACGTGTTGTGCGTTCAGAGATGCTCTTCTGTGTACCTCAGTTGTAACAAGTGATTATTTGAGTTACTGTTGCCTTTCGATCAGCTCTAACCAGTCTAGCCATTCTCCTCTGACATCAGCAAGGCATTTGCACCCACAGAACTGCCGCTCACTGGATATTTTCTCTTTTTCTGTCCATTATCTGTAAACCCTAGAGTAATTCAGTGTAAAAATCCCAGTAGATCAGCAGTTTCAGAAATACTATCATGAAATTGGCTAAATAGAAGTTACCGTTAACAGCAGTTGGACAGGTGTACCTAATATAGTGGCCGTTGAGAGTATATGGGTCAAATGCTATAGCTTTTATTTTAGTTTAGCTGATTATATATGAATAGATAGAAGGCAAAATTATAAGTGACATTAATTCTTTTTCAAATATTTCCCAAACACATTTTAGACATTCTAGTTTAGTACCTAATTTCTAAGTAACATGTAATTTCTTTTCTCTTTGCCATGATTACAACACAATAGTTATTTTGCAAGATACTAATATTCAGCTTAAAATGCAATTTAAAGACTTAACTAGGTTAATTAGGTTAAATAGACAAACTAAAAAGAAATAAGACTTTCTCCAGAAGAAAAATATCATCGGAAATACTGTGAAAATTTTTATTGTACTGTTTAACATCACCTCGGAAATATTTGCTAATAATATTGTCATATATACAGAACAAATATAGTTACACTACATAATTCATTAGCAATAAGTAAACGCATTGATTTACAGTGCCCAGCATAAATGAGTACATCCCCTTTGAAAAATGCTATATTTATTACCACAAGTTAATAGTCAACTAACATGTTTAGGTTAAATTTAAGAATACAAATTAATTAAAGTTAATTACAGTTTTGTTCAATGTTTTCTCCTCACTTATTTATTGGGGTAAACTCAATTTTGTAGCATGAAAAAACCTTAAGATAAAGAGTTCAGATGCAAAACCTTTGAAGAGTTGTCTGAAATTTTCTTCTGAAACACACATTTTTTTAATTTCAGGTTCCAGTTTGTAGGCTTTGCAAAAAAAAAAAAAAAAAAAAAAGGGTTCAATTGAAATAAATGAAATAACTCAACATAGGCATAGGAAGCTGAGAGAAATGCTCATTTTGGAGTAAAATGAACATTTCAGGCAACCCTTGGCTTTACCTGAACTCTTCAGCTATAGAAACATCCACCATCAAATAAAATGAATCTTTAAAATGTTCATTCTGGATGGATGGCACTATTAACACATGCTAACATCTCAATTCAGTGTCAAGCTAACATAAAGAACTACTTCCTGTGTGTGACTGAAAGTGACCAGAGGGTTAAGATCCTAAAAAATCAAGACGGCTCACCAAGGAACTTCACGGTAAGGTTTCTCTCATTCCAACACATCTTCAAAAAAAAAAAAAAAAAAAAAAAAAACAGGAATATTAAATATATTAGTTGCTTAATAATGATAATAAACACCCACCAAACAGGAAGGAGAGCCAGTGTACATCTCCACACCTGACCTCAGTAGTGATGATTCAGAGAGGAGTTCAGGGAGGTACGTCTTATTTTATCAGTGCTAAACAACTGTGAATACTATTTAAAACAACTTAAAAAAATACCTTGATTATTTATTTCCACTCTTCAGCAGGGCGATGTTTAGGGTAGCAGCACCACGAGCTCGACAGGACACCAGTCCAGCCCAGTTCAGAGAGCTCTCACCACTGGCAGATTCCCACGAGTCTGGATTTTCAAGAAGAAACAGGAAAGTGGAATATTTCTGGATCCCCACAGATGAGGAATAATTGTGAAAGCCTAGTGTACATAAAAAAAAAAGATTTAGGATGCGTTCATATTTGTCTGGCTTGGCTTGATTAAAAATGCTTTGGTAAACTACATATTTGAAATGTGAACACAACATAGACTGAAGACATGTATACAAATCAAAAACAGGACATGTCATAACGCGAATATAAAATGAACAGAGTGCTCAAGCACCCCCATTTTTGTTGTCATAATTATAGCGTTGCCCAATATCGGTCTTGCAAAATGTTGTCTTGCAGCAGTTTTTGTATGCATCAGGAATACCTGGCACTGTTTTGACTCGTTTTAAACTTTTTACATTTGAAGCTCTTTGGGAATACTCCACTGACGAATGTAGAAACACACACACAAAGAGCATGTTTAAACTCATTCAGTCACAAAATATATTAAACAAACTCTGTTTTATTTTGTATTTTGTTTTCCAGCCTAAAATCATTTCATTCCAAATAACGGAAAAACCAAACTATGAATGTGAATACATCTTAACACAATAAATGCATGGTTCTACACAAGCCATTCATTTTGTCCCAACACAAATCGATAAAGTTAACTTTTAAAGAATTTAAGTGGATATATAATAGTTAAGTTGCAACCCCCCCCCTCCCCCATCTCAAAAATTGTTGTTTCAGCTCATTTTAAATAAGTATTTTGTACAAGCAGCACAATATATTTTGAGTGCAGATTGTTTTAATTTAACCTACAAAATACATTTGTCATCCTATTAAAACAATCTGTATAGTATTCCCTGACGTTATAATTAAATAAATTGATTGGAAAAGAAAAAAGGAGAAAAAAAGGTTTAGAATAATTAATTTTGTAAACATCACTTGTAAATAAATTAATTTTGTTGACATTTCACACACAAAATACATGTCACCCAAACAACAAACAAAACAAGCTGTACGGTATATCAATATGTAAAAAGAGACACATCACATTTACACACACACGCACAAAGAGCATTTTCAACGCGTTCAGTTACAAAATATATTAAACAAATGCAGTTTTGTGTTTTGCAGCCTATAAAATGACAACAATCTGAATTTTTTTTCTTCTTCTGTGGTCCGGAACATTACAACAAAATAGGAGAACCAAACTGTGTGAATCTTTACACTGTAATAAATGCAGCGTTCTACACAATTCATTCATGTTGTCCCGACACAAATTAAGTTAATTTGAAAAAATTGAAGTAGATTGAACATAAAATTAAAAAAAATAAATAAATTAAGTTGTCCCCCTAAAAAGATCAAGAATTGTGTCGTTTCATTGCGGTATTTTAATATTTTAAAAACATTGCATGTACAAACACAAAGAGAGCATGTTTAACCCATTCAGTCACAAAATATAAATCATAAATGCAGTAATTTTTGTATTTTCTAGCCTATGAAACGACAAAGATCTGATTATTTATTTTCTTCTGCGGTCCAGACCATTAAATAAAAAAACTAATAGATCCAAACTATGAGTGCAAATACATCTTTACACTGTAAAAAAATGTAAGGTTCTACACAATTCATGTTGTCCCAACACAAATCGATCAAGTTAACTTAAATTTGAGTGGATTGAACGTAAAAAGAATAACGTCGTCCTTCCAAAAAATCCCAAGAATTGTTAATTCATATAAATTTGGTGCACGCAGCAAATATATATTTTGAGTGTAGATTGCATTAAATTTTGTAAACAATTAACCTACGAAATACATTTGTCGTCCAAACACTCAAAACAATCTTCGTACGTACATACATACGTATACACACAAGCACTCACGCGCACACACACACAGCATGTTTAACACTTCAGTCACAAAATATATTGCGATTATTTTTTTATTTTTGTTTTCCAGCTTATAAAATGCCAAAGATCTGACCAATTTTTTCTTCTGTGGTCCAGACCATTATATATATATAAAAAAACTAATACAACCAAACTATGAGTGTGAACACCAGGGGCAGACTGAAACTGTATTTTCAGTCGGGAAAGTTATTGTTCCTCTGACCACCCAAGTGATTGGTAAATTAGGAGCTGGGGGTTGTGGAGTTGTGTGTGAAGTGAAGAGCCAGAGTAGGGGGTTTGTGTCATGTTGTGGACTGTGGTGATCGGTAACTGAAAAGTGTGCGGTGGGGATGGTTGATTACGGCGATCAATAAGTGAAGAGCTGGTGAATGCGGGTACGGGAAGAGGGGAGGGCAGGCCAGACTCCCGGTGCTCCCTATGGCTAGTCTGCCCCTGGTAAATACATTACAGAGAATACACTGTAAAAAAATGCAGGGTTCTACACAATTTATTCATGTTATCTCAGCACAAACCGATTAACTTAAATTTAGGTGGATTGAACATAAGAATTAAGTTGTCATTTCCCTAACCTACCCCCACCCCCCCTCTAACTAACTTCACTTCCTGTCGCAATAAGGTCCTATCTAATACAGGCAAAAATAAATCCTAAAAAAAAAAAACGGTCCATACAATATTCCCTCATGTTATAATTGATTGAAAAAAAATATTAGTGCAACATTTAAAAAAATATATAAAATAAAATAGGAAAAAAAGACAGACTTAAGTGATCAAGTTTTTTCTTTATTGTAAATTCAGCAATAGTGGTGATGAATACAGCACTAAACAGCCTTACAACGACATGATCATAAGTTATTTCAATTCTGACAACTGCACCGCAGTTAAAGTGGGCAAATGCAAGTCAGGTACAATTAAAACACCTGTCAATAAAAGGTTGTAAGTAAACCTCTTATTGACAAGGGCAAAAGCCTTTCTCCTCTTTTTGGGTGTCAAGGATTTGTTCCATTTACGTTTAATGCCCCATTAAAAGGCAGGTTAAAAAAAAAATCCACCACAGTTGGAATCATTTGTAGCAGATCAATGGGACCAGAATGGCAACATTACAACTGCCATTAGAGAAAGAATACATCTCAATTATACTCGTAGATCACACTGCAGACAACATTATAGTAAGGCTGGGGCTGCAGAGGCATTAAGTTGACACTAGTAGCTTGATTTCGGCATCTTCAATGGAAAGCACTTAAACTCTACTGCAAGCTGAGATATTAGGTAGTGTGTTGTGCAAAAACAAAACTACTAAGCAGATGCTCTAGATCGTAATTCATGAAATCCGACATATCAGAGGCTGTACTAACAAATGCTCATTCGGTAGGAGGTAGAAATGAAGACTGCTAAATGTTACAGTGATTACAGTTTTACAGATGTTTCAATCATGCTCGAGGGTTGAAGGATATTGCAACCGACCCACAATAACACTAATAAGAGTCTACAGCGTAACCTATGAAGCCCATTACAACCAGGATCTCAGCTTCACTGCTGCTCAGACGCTGCGAGGTTTGTCCTGTTTTTCTTTTCTGAAACAAACACACAAATTAAACCAGGCATACCACGAGGAGGATCTGACGAACACCTTTTCTACAAAAAAAAAAAAAAAAAAAAGCAGTGGTTGATATAACATGTGAAACTGATGTCGATTTTAAAAAAGCCTGACAATGGTTATGACGCAAGCAAACGCATTAAGAGATGTTACAATAATGGTATTGCTGTTTAATTCACGAGCCTAGCAGCAGAGTACTTTAGTCAACAGAGTGAGCTACTGCAAAAAGAGTGTAGAACCCCCAAGGCAGGCCATTTAGCAGAAAATTAATGTTGTACTAGGATTAGTCTGGTTTCTTAGTCAGCTTCCTCTTCTGACTCCTCTTCCTCAGCCGTCTCAAGCCAGGTCAGCCACTGGTTCACCTGAAAACGAAGATAAAGGCTTGTAAATATACAGGGCTCAAAAATAAAAATACCTGAAATATAATCTATGCAACCTAAAAATACATCTGGGAGCATTTGTTTGCTTTTAAAAGCATTCATGCTGTGTGTTCATATGTCGACCGGTCTCTTGTGCTATGCAGATTTTAGGTTAATATTAGCTGTCAATCTCTCAGTCACAACTTTCTGCTGTCAGATAACACCACAGAAAATTTAAAGGACTGAAGAAGATGGAGTAAAAACAGGTTTGTAAACCACCTTAGGTTACAAATAATGACGCCAGTGACGATGATCATGTGATGAATGTCGATCCACCAACAGAGAGGGCATACGGTTTGAAAATAGAGTCCGATGTTTAACACAAATGGCAGCTAAATGTGAAATTTACCACTGCACACATCACCAAAGAAGCTTGCCCTTTTCAGCTTATGAAAGATAACTGTACTGTAAATGACCAGGTTGGCTATTGAAAGAATAATGTTCAAGTTGACTGATGAGCAGGGCTGACGCAAGTGATTAATTTTTTTTTAATTGTTAAACTTTAGTTTTTGTGATGCTGTTGTGAGACTGTTGTTTTCTCTGTTAGAAAACAACAGTTAGAGACTGTTAGAGACTGTTGTGTACACTATATATAAAATTAACTTTATTGTGCGATATGAATAAAAAGTGATCATAAACCAATATATTCAATTCAAATAAGCGGCAGCTTGAACCCAGAAACAGTATTACATACATTACTAACACGTCATCACTTAACAGTTCATCATCAACGAATAGAGGCGACCTCGGTAAATACTGAGGGTGGCACCTGCGAGTATGTTGGAAAGAAACTTAATTTATTATAATAACTATAATTTCAACAAGTTATCTCAGAATTAATGAAATTGTTATCAATTACAATACATTAATTAATAAATAATTTGTAGTAGAGGTGCTCATTCATTTTTGGAGGATGCTCCTGAACTTTAAAATGGAAGCCCCAGTGCTGTCGAGCTCTCACATACATGAAAGTTAAAGATTTAAAGGAGGTTTGATGCAGAAAAACATTAAAAGTAGAATACAAAATATAATTATTTTTTTATTTTTAATACATTAGAAAATGTAAAAATAAAAAGCCACACAAAACCTTTTTTCCATTTGATGAAACTGCCGAGATTAGTCAAATAAACTTACCTGGAATAAGGCTTTTCCTTTCCCAGGAAATTCTTGGGAAATATCTTCTTTCCAAGCAAGAAACGCTTCCTCCTCGATGATCTCCATGTCATAAAAGTGGACAAAGTAGCGAAGCAACATACCTGAATCACAAAAACAAGTCAGAGCCACAAACCTCAAATTAGAAAAATTCTCATTTAGTCATTCAGAAAATCTCAACAGACAAAATGTAACAATCTTAAGTGCATTCTGTACCTTTTGGAAAAGCATTGGCATTGCAGTGCACCTGCAGGGCATACAGAGCACTGACTTGCAAGTTGGTGTGTTCGTGAAGGAACTTCTGCATGACCGGCTTGAAAGAGTGCAATAGCTGCTTCTCCTGATCGAGCTGCTCTTTAGAAGGGAAGGACAGTTGCTCATCGCATTCAGGCACACCAAGCTCAGCAAAGATATACTGCAGGAAGCTGTTGAACAAAACATGAGCTTGTCA